CCGACCAGGCCTCAGCGCCGAGCAGTTCTCGGCCTCCCGGCCGAGAACTGTAGCGATCCATCCCGACCGTTTCGCAGTCCCACACGAATTATCTCGCCTTGATTCTCGATTTGACCTAAAGCCCACAACGAAGTGAACGAGCCCGAATATTTAGTTTTCCTAGATGTATGAGGATTCGACTACGGTAAACCCTAAAAATATTAGAATTCGACTTCTATAAATGGAAGGGTGAGAAAAACCCTAGAGGTATGTCAAAACACCCTACTATCTACACTCGACTACTTTGATACTAACTTAAGCATCGGAGTCCGTGTGGCAAGAGCCACACCGGTCTTAGTGCTATTCTACTTTGCAGGTCTCATCGATCTCTTTATTCTAGAAGATTAGTACGAATTTGGTGAGATCCCAGGAGGCCAAATTTCTAGATTAACACTTCTCATAAAGTTTCATAAATATTGCTATAAAATTATATTAAAAGGTTTCCATGATATATAAAATTTATATTAAAAATTTGACAATAGAAATAAAATGATGAGTAGATCAAAATAAATATTTTAAAAGTATATATAAAGATTAAATGAACTAAAATAGATATTTTGAAAAGACAATCAAAATAAATTAAAGTAGAAATATAAAAATCAAAATAGTATTTAATTTTTTTTCCTTTTTTTAGGAACATTATTCATACTTCTGTATGTGTTTGGGGGTAAAAAAACCTTGGACACGTGGAGGACGTTTACTGGTGTCCGAGGATTAAAGAATCTCAGGTCCACCTCGAACCTGCCGAAGAGGTTGGCGTCACCCATTGGAAAAAAGGCTAAGTGCGCATGCCAAAGTTCAACCTGACTCGGGTTCGATCTGCTCGGAACCCGACAGGTCCGACATAAGGAAAAAAACATGTAACCGCCGGTCGTGAGCACTGTCGGATCCACCACCTATAAATAGAGGGCCTCATTTCACCTTCAGGTATGGAATCTCACCTCGAACTAAATACGGAGTCCGACCTATATTGATTTGAGCGTCGAAGTGTTTACCCTCTTGTGCAGGCCCACTCTTGTGTTCAGGTCGAGCCGGGGACCGAGTTCAAGCTAGGTTCGTAAAGTATCGTTGTGCAGACCTTTGCATAAACATTTGGTTCCGTTTGTGGGAAAGGACGATCTAAGTCATCCCGAGTTAAAAGCGTGAACAAAAATGGTTCAGCCAGCAAACTCAGCCAACACGGTCGACCGAAGAGCTCTAGTGGCCAATGATGGCCGCCAGAGGGAGGTCGGGGCAGAGGTGGTAGAGGGACAGGTTCATGAAGGCCTGGGGACAGAGCCTCTCCGCAGGTCGGCACGCATCACCATGCTCGTTCTGCCACCAGCACATCCAAAGCCATCCAAGGCCAATCGCGGTCGAGGAGGGGCTTCGAAGAGAACCACTCGAAGACCAGCCCCAGCCCCAACAAGATAGAATTTTGATGCACTCCAGAAAGAAATGGAGGCAATGCGCACTCAGATGCGCACCATGGAAGAAATGTACAACGAGATGGTGCAAGTTGCGGGTGCTGGGTCTCGGTCTGAAAACCGGGTGGCGCGCGATGACATGCGCGAGCAAAGGGGTCATCACCTCGGACCACGAGGAAGAGCACCCTGGAGAAGATGAGGACGAAAAGTATACTCATCAGAGAGGCGATCTTCGCGAGCATCTCAATAGAAAGAGAAACTCGTCCCTCCGAAAGGGGCGATCTCCGTCCTACTCGCACAAGAGCTCCAACCAGCAGGCCGAATCCTCCTACAATCCAGTAACTCCAGAGGGAGTGATCACAAGAGAGTATTTTGACCAGCTAAAGAGCAAGTTCGATGCTCAGGTTGAAGCCTTGAAGGCTAGGTGCGAGAAAAAAGAAAGTCCGTTCGATGATGGCGACCTGGGAGAATCACCATTCACCTCGGACATCTTAGAGGCCCCAATCCCTCCGAAGTTCAAAACTCCTACCATGAAGCATTATGATGGGTTTAAGGACGCAAAAGACTATGTTGAGGTCTTCGAAGGCCTCATGGACTTTCAAGCGGCAACAGATGCAATCAAGTGCCGCGCCTTCCAGATCGCGCTCACCGCAGTGCACGCCTGTGGTATCAAAGACTGCCGGTTAGGTCGATCTCGACCTACTCTCAGTTGAGGAAAGAATTTATCAGCCAATTCTTTTCTCTGCATTACGATAGGAAGACAACGACTCACCTCGCCACCATTAGGCAGAAAAAAGGTGAGACGTTGAGAGAGTATGTCACAGGTTCCAGGAGAAGCAGCTGAAGGTCGCGCACTGCTCCGATGACTCAGCCATGTGCTACTTCCTCACCGGCCTGGCCGATGAGACCCTCACCGTGAAGCTCGGAGAGGAAGCTCCAGCCACCTTCGCTGAAGTATTACAGAAGGCGAAGAAAGTCATTGATGGACAAGAGCTTCTCCGAACCAAAACTGGCCGACCAGAAAAGAAGATCGACCAGGGGAGAGTTGGCAAGGACAAAGGAAAGGCTGATTCCAAGTCCAAAGACAAGGGATCATCCTCCTCTAGCAGCCGAGCTGATTATCGAAGGTCGGATAGCAGTCACAACCGAACCCGATCTTATGAGCATTATACTCCAACCACCATCCCCATCTCTGAAATACTTACAAACATCGAGGAAAGTGGGATGGAAAAGCTCCTTAAGCGACCTGAGAAGCTCCGAGGAGACCCAGAAAAGCGCAATAAAGATAAATACTGTCGTTTTCATCGCGATCACGGCCATAATACATTAAATTGCTGGGAATTGAAGCGCCAAATTGAAGACCTCATTCAAGATGGCTACTTCAAAAAATTTGTTGGCAAACCGAGGTCCAACTCAGTAGAAAAGAAAGAAGAAAGGAAGCGTTCAAGGACGCCGCCTCGACGAGACGACCGACCTGCGGTCATCAACACTATTTTCGAGGGCCCTAGTGGGGGCCAGTCTGGAAATAAAAGAAAAGAATTAGCTCGCAAAGCTAGGCGCAAGGTATACATCATTAGGGAGCAGAAACCGACTTGCTCCATTACCTTCGGCAATGCCGATATGGAGGGGGTCCACTTGCCCCATAAATGATGCACTTGTGATCGCCCCCCTTATCGATCATGTCCTGGTCAGAAGAGTATTGGTAGATGGAGGCGTGTCTGCTAACATCTTGTCCCTCCCGACATATCTGGCCTTAGGATGGACCAGTTCTCAGTTGAAGAAGAGTCCAACACCCTTGGTTGGATTCTCTGGAGAATCGGTCTCTCCAGAAGGGTGTATCGACTTACCGGTTACGATTGGGTAAGATGATACACAAGTAACCCAGATGGCCGAGTTCGTTGTGATCGACGGAAGGTCAGCCTACAACGCCATCTTCG